TAAAAAAATTTTTTTGAGATGAAAAATATGTAATATAAAATTAATTATTTTAAAGTCAGTTCAGTGGTACCTAGCATGTAACAGTGATGTGCAATCACCATCTCTGTCCAGATAAAAAACATTCCTGTCACCCTGAAAGGAGACCCTGTCCTGTCCCTGCTGTCTCAGTTGGCAGGGCTGCTCTAACAAAGCACCAAAGGCTGGGTGGCGTCAACGACCAGAGGCTTATGGTCTCACAGTGGTGGGTGTTGTGAGTCCAAGATCAAGGTGTCAGTAGGTGGGGTGGGTTCCTTCTGAAGGCGTGAGGGAAGGATCTGTTCCAGGTGCATCCTTGCTTGGCAGATGGCTCTCTTCTGTCTGCACTGAGTCACCTTGTCTTCTCTCTTTGTGTGTCTGTGCTCAGCTTACCTCTTTGTATAAGGACACAAGTCCTGTCGCCTTGGTGCCTACTCTAATGCCCTCATTCTAACTTGATTGCCTCAGTGAAAACCCTCTCCAAATAAGGTCGAATTCTGAGTTATTGGGACTTGAGCATATGAATTTTGGGAAACAGTTCAAACCATAACACCCATTAAGCAGCACTGTATTAGTATTTCATTCCTTTCTGTGGCTGAATAATATTCCATTGTAGGTACGCACTTATTTTTTGAGCCGGTGAAATCTTCTCCCCCACCCCCAGGCAGCTGAGTGTTCTATTACAGGCTCGTGCGCCCATCTGTGTAAGGTGGACTATTGCTCTCGCGGTGTATCACCCAGATCTTAATCTGTAAGCTTTTTCTTGCTGTCTTCCTCCTTGAAAGAATGTTAGTCTTTGTGAGCAAAAGTAAGAGTAACGATTTAGTGCTCCGGCCCGCAGAGGAGCTCGACCACCTACCTAGAACAAATGGGTTGGGGGGGACAAGAGGCGCGAAGAATGGCAGCAAGACAAAAGATTCTGATCAAGCTGCAAACTTTATTTTTCCGAACTGGATATATATAGGAGAGATTAGGTTGCTTGCTATTGGCTAGCTTGAGACAAAGAAGGGCCCGCTTATTGGTTACTTGGGTGCAACTGGTACTCGTGGACACCTCATGTGCCTGTAGCCGATTGGCTTGTGGAGCACACAGGTTCCTGTAATCAACGCAATGTTTTTAGCTAGAAGCCAGGTGTAAGGTTCCCAACAATTTTTTTTAAAATTTTTTTATTGATTATGCTGTTACAGTTGTTCTATTCCCCCTTTATTCCCCTCCACCCTACCCCCCATCCCCACCATCACCCCCCCCTTTAGTTTATGACCATGTGTCTCAAGTCCTTTAGATTCTATATTTCCCATGCTATTCTTGCCCCCCCATCTATTTTCTATCTACTGTCTATGCTACTTATTTTCTGTACCTTCTCCCCCCTTCTCCTCCTCCCACTCCCCCTGTTGCTAACCCTCCTTGAGATCTTCATTTCTATGTTTCCACTCCTGATCTAGCTGTCCTTTTAGTTTGCTTTTGTTTTAGGTGTGGTTGTTAATAACTGTGAGTTTGTTGTCCTTTCACTGTTCATGTTTCTTTAACTTCTTTTTCTTAGATAAGTCCCTTTAACATTTCATATAATAAGGGCTTGGTGATGATGAACTCCTTGAATTTGATCTTATCTGAGAAGCACCTTATCTGTCCTTCCATTTTAAATGAAAGTTTTGCTGGATAGAGCAATCTTGGTTGTAGGTCTTTAGATTTCATGACTTGGAATACCTCTTTCCAGCCCCTTCTTGCCTGTAAGGTCTCTTTTGAGAAATCCGCTGACAGTCTGATGGGGACTCCTTTGTAGGTGACTGTCCCCTTAGCTCTTGCTGCTTCTAGAATTCTCTCCTTCATTTTAATCTTGGCTAATGTAATTACGATGTGCCTTGGTGTGTTCCTTCTTGGGTCCAACTTCTTTGGTACTCTCTGAGCTTCCTGGATTTCCTGGAAGTCTATTTCCTTTGCCAGATTGGGGAAATTCTCCTTTATTATTTGTTCAAATAAGTTTTCCATTGGTGGCTGTGCCTTTCCCCCTTCTGGTACCCCTATAATTCGGATGTTGGAGCGTTTAAAGATGTCCTGGAGGTTCCTAAGACTCTCCTCATTTCTTTGAATTCTTGCTTCTTGACTCTTTTCTGTTTGGCCATTATTTGCTTTCTTCTGGTCCACTCCATTGATTTGAGTCCCAGTTTCCTTTTCATTGCTATTGGTGTCCTGTGCAATTCCATTCATTTCAATGAGTTTCGCCTTCATATATTTGTCTAATTTGTCCGTATAATCAACCAGTTCTGTGAGGATCCTGATCACCAATGTTTTAAACTGTGCGTCTGTGAGTTTTGTTATTTCTTCATCGCTTAGATTTATTGGCTCTGGGGCTCTGAGATCCTCCTGCGCCATTCTTGGTCTGTTCAGGCCCTTTAAGAAGCGGTGCCTTGGATTCCCAGGTCGCTGGGTTGTGACGCTGTATGTGGGGGCGTGGCCAGAGCGGGGAAATGGCGACCCCCTCTGCCGCTTCTCACAGCTGGGTGCGGAGGAGCAGTGCCTTAGGTGGTTCACCTGGGCCGGCTGCTCAGAGTCGCTGGGTTATGACGCTGTGTGTGGAGGTGGGGTCAGAGCAGGGAAATGGCGGCGCCCTCCACTGCCGCTGGCCGTGGGGACCTGCCGGCCCGGTCCAACCGCCCACTCCCTCGCCTGTCCACCCTTGCACAAATGCGTGACCTCAGTCAACACGCAGCCCCGGGCCCGGCTGTCTCCCCCGTGGTCGCTCGCCTGGTTGCTCGCGGGGTCGCTCACTAGGTCTGACCCTGCGCCTGGATTCCGCGGGCCTGAGTGTGTCTGGCCGAGTCCTCCTGTGCAACCCTGCTCCGCCAGCCGCTGGTTTCGCCCCTTACCGGTCAGGCTGAAGAATTTGTTGTTAACGGACTTCCGAAAAGTTCAATTTTCCGTGTTCTGGCTGTGTTTTCTGTTGCTAATATTTAATTTTCTCTAATCTTGGTTGTGTGAGAAGGCACGGACATCCACCTATGCCTCCATCTTGGCGGAAGTCCGGTTCCCAACAATTTATTAAGGGGAAGCCAGGCCATGTTTCTTATTCTAGAAATTATATATTTTTTAAATTATTGGTTTTTAGAGAGGGAAGAGAGAGAGATATCAGTTTGTTGTTCCACTTGTTTATGCATTTATTGGTTGATTCTTGTATGTGCCCTGACCAGGGACTGAACCTACAACCTTGGTGTATCAGGACAACACTCCAACCAACTTAGCTACCTGACCAGTGCTCCCAGAAATTGCTTTAAAAAATAGATTTTATCTTTGATTTTCCTCTCTCCTCTTCCTACTTTTATCCTCAGAGTTCTCCCAAGCATACATATACTTCTGTTAAAAGTATTTTAACAGGAAACAGTAAAAGGGGGGTGCATGGTGACAGGAGACTTGACTTTGGGTGGTGAACACACAATACAATATGCAGGTGATATAGTACAGAATCGTACAGTTGAATCCTATGTAATTTTATTAACCAGTGTCACCCCAATAAATCAAATAAATTTTTAAGGCATTTAAAATGCCGACCATCCTAGGGAGGGCATGGCACAGACAGGGAGCTCTGCCCTTTGAGGAGACCCAGCTGGCTGCTGCTCTCATTGTCATGGTTACCAGGCCTGGTCCCTGGGGCTGGCCTTGGACCAGGGCCTTTCAGATGCTCTTCACACTCCCCGCCCTGCACCTGCCTCAGAGTGAAGTGTGTGTGCTCTCAGCTTTGAAACCGATTGCACCATTGACTTGTACGTTTCACCTGCCCATTTAATTTAACACCTGTTTCTCTCTCGTCTGCATATAGACAAGAGACCCACATCCTTGCTGGCCTGGGCTCTCCTGGGAACACCTCAGAATGGTCACTAGCTTGCTGCAGACACGGGGCCCTTTCCCTCACTCTGTCCCAGGGCCTTGGTAATGATGCCACATGTGTTGTGTCACCTCGAATCTGTAGGAAGAACCACAGCAGGGTGGCATTTTCCTGCCTCTGGACTCTTTCTTCCCTCGTCCTTCTCTCTCTCTCTCTCTCTCTCTCTCTCTCTCTCTCTCTCTCTCTCTCTCTCTCCCTCTCTCCCTCCCTCTCTCTCTCTCCCTCCCTCCCTCCCTCCCTCTTTTCCTCCATCAAATTAGCTCTGCCATCCCTGGAAGTTCACTGGAGGAAGAAATGCCCTCTGGCCCCAGGCTTTTCAGAGAGGCAGGAAGAAGAGTGGAAGGGCTTGAAAATGAAGACAGGACAGAAACTGTTCACATTCTATGTTATTCCATATTATCGTTTTCACGTAAATGCAAGGTGCTTCTGGGACCCTGGCTGGAAGGCTCCACACTGTTAATGGAATTGGATAAAAAACAGTTAAAGATGCTATGGATTTTCCTCATTATGGATCAGCCTTTAGAATACAGGGTTCACTTCGGTGGGGCCTGTACACCTGGAGTTTTTGAAAGCTTCCAGGTGATCCTAATGTCCAGCCACCTTTGAGAACTGCTGTCCTAGGAGGCAGAGGCCTCCAGGAGAGCTTGAACATTCTGTAAGAGGTGATGGAAGAGACAGGTGACACCTAATCCTCTTGTGCCCGGCAATTCAGTTAATTAGGCAGAAAGGAGCCACAGAAAGAACACACCTTGCCCTCCATTTTGCTGAGAAAAATAGGACTTTATCTCCACTTAACCCTGTAGGGCGAGAGTGGGAAGGGAGACAGACTCCCGCCTTCCCACCTCCCTGCTGCTACCATGGGCTGGTGGGGTGCCAGACCCAAGGTGATTGCCAAGGTGATGCATAATGTTCACAGGAACATGCCGTTTCTGCATTCTGCTCACGACTCGCCATCCTCCTGGCTCCCGAGGAAAAGTAACACCAGGCCCATGTGTCTGCAGTCTTTTCTGAGCAGAGTGTGCTCATACTAGTTGTTTGTGGCACCATTGATGGGGGGCTGTTTTCAGAGGCCAGCGGTTGGGCTGACCCCTGTATCTGTGTTTTATAGTACAAAATCGGACAGCTGTACATGATCAGCAAGCACAGCCACGAGCAGAGCGACCGAGGGGAAGGTGTGGAGGTTGTCCAGAATGAGCCCTTCGAGGACCCGCACCACGGCAACGGGCAGTTCACCGAGAAGCGTGTGTATCTCAACAGGTAAGTGGTGGCCGCTGGCGTGCCACCTACGGGCTCTCTCACCACATGGGGCCCCTCCCACCAGGACCCACAGCCGGCCGGAGGTAGAGGTGGTGTCCAGGATGAAAAGGTGACTGGGAAAGTCATTAATTATGTTCACCCTCTGCATCCACCAGACTAGTTGCTTCCAAGGACAGAATCTCCTGCGCTTGCAGAACCGTCCTCAACTGCATTTCATCAGGAAGAGCTTTTTTCTTAGCTTCCCCACACCTTGAGTGACAGGATAAGATGAAATCTGATCTTCAGGAGTAAAGGACTTGTCTTCTCCTTTGCTTCAGGGTCAACACTGCTCCACCTGCGAGGTGTAGAGAAGTGTTGCCGGTAGCATGTGCCATGGGGGCCTTGACTTGGGAGGTTGCCACTTTTTGCCAGGTGACCCCTCTGGGGTCCGTAAAGGGAATTGACCAAACGAACGGTCCCCTCTGACCCAAGTACAATAGGCAGTGCGAAGGTGGTTTCCTTTCTCAGGTGGAGCCGTCCTCCCCGAGGTGGAGGCGGTCTCCTCTCCTTGGGGAGGGTGACGGACTGAGGGTGACAAAGAGCACTGTCAGGACTGCCATTTCTGCTTTGCAGAATATGTTCTTTAATCCCTTGCTATTTCATTATCGCCAATGGTGTGATTATCGGTGCCTGTTTGATCTTCTTCCTATTCTACACCCCGACTCTAGCCCATTTTCTCTGTTTCACCTTTTTTGGGGGTCAGAAATTTGTAGTCATATGCCATATGGAATATATTTTATTGAGAGTAACTGCGAACTCTGGGGAACCAGTGTGTGACCAGCCCGCTGATCGCTACATCCAGGAACACTCTTTATCCCATGGGTATGGCATCTCCTATTGGTCTGTATGTGATATTTAGAAAGCGTGTCCAGCATGATAGCTGGACAGTGCCCCCAGTTCATCCCCGGACCCAGTCCCCGCACCTTGACCACGGTCAGACATTTGCATTCCACCGCGCTCACATGGCCCCCACCCCCCAAAAGGCTGACCTACACTATTCCTTCTTGGTGGAGAGTTTGGGTCCTGTCCCTAGGGTGTGCGGTGATTTCTCAGGCCAGCATCCCAACACTGAAGGCTGTGGGCTGATTAAACCAACACGTGCTATTAATCTGCCCAGGGATGCAGTACCCGGGAATTCCTGAGCGAGGATGAAAAGCAAATTAGATTCATCCCATTTATCTTTCCAGGGTTTGGAACCAGTTCAGCCTGCAGCCAGCTGTTAATGGGCGGCTTCCTTGCAGAGAAAGGGGTTTCCAACGTGCTGCCCTGGCTTGTTAGCGCAGACGATATAATTCAAGTTCTTAGCAGGGATCATCTCTGTAGAGCAAATGGAAGTGAGGGAGATACAGGAAAGGAGGTTCAGACCTACAGGAAATTTCATATTTTTGACATTTGATTGTATTTCCCCAAGTTATTGCCTGGAGAATGTTCTCTACTTACCAGATTCAAGAAAAATTTTAGAAAACTTTATAAAGAACAAGAATAAGAGGTGTCCAGATCCTCTCTATTAGGTCAGCTTTCTCTATCAAAATATATGATATTTGTTTTAAAGGAGAATAAACATTAATAAGAGGGAAATTTATTATAAATAGAGTATCTGGATTTCCAGGAATAAGAACTGAGAAGATTGATGTGGGCCTTCCCCTCACCTCGTCTGACACACACAGGATGAAATATAACAATATAAAGTCGAGTTCCAAACAAAGGAAGGGAAATCCTTAGGTACAAGAAATAAAGAGGAAACTTAAACCAGCATGGACAGCAGATGAGCTAATGCTAAGGAAGCTGGAGGCTGTGAGATACCCAGGGCCGCCACGCCCGTAAGGGGACAAGATATGCAGCCTGGGCCCATCAAAATGGGGAGAGGGAACTCAGAATTGTGCCTAAAAATCATTTTTGACAATAAAAACCAGAGAGGTTACAGGGGCGCATATGGAAAGAACTACTAAAGGATGTACTTGAAGTAAAAGGAAATTGAACCCAAGGAGGAAGGAGGGGGGTGTCTAGAAATAATAATAAACAAGAAGTTGGTGAACATCTGGGCAAATCTGAATGAGCATAGAATGTTTAAAAAGTATTAATAGTGAGTAATTGGGAGTATATTCGCGGAATTTAAATAATAGACAGGAATAGCAGATGATGAGAGGGTAGTAATGATAGTAAAACACATTCTAAGTTGCTACTGTTGTTTAGGAAGGGAGGGAGGTGTTGACTAACTTCAATTCTTGAAAGTGAGTGTATACATTCCAAATGTAAACCTGGCCTGTAATGGAGCAGTTCAATAGTGTGCGGCTTCCAAGAGAAAACTTGATCGGTCCCGTAGAAGGCAGAGGAAGAACAAAGTTTTACAGAAAGCACAAATAGAAGGTACATTTTGATGGGGAGATAAAATATATTCATGGTCTCAGTAAAGGTATGTGAATTAAATCTGAAACCTCAGCCTAGATCAAAATATATATAGCAACACTGACAAAATCATAAGTCGCCTAATATTACAGTGAGAGATTTTCACATAATATCAGTTTTTTTCAATGTATTTATTTTCAAGAAAGGGGAAACAAGGGAGAAAGAGAGGGAGAGAAATGTCATTGTGTGAGAAAAACATCGAGTGGTTGCCTCTCGCACCCCCCCCCCCCCGACTGGGAAGCACACCTGCTACCCAGGTCTGTGCCCGGACTGGAAATTGAGCCGGTGACCTTCCGCTTTGCTGGACAACGCCCAACCAACTAAGCCACACCAATCAAGGTTAACATACTATCAGTCTAACAAACCTTGAGATCAAGTAGACAGACCATTTAGCAAGCACAGAGAAGATACAGACAACAGAATGACAAGCTTGATCTAGTGGACAACTAGTACATCCTGGAACCAACATGCTCTTCACACACACACACACACACACACGAAAATGTACAAAACTTGACTACAAACTAAGCCAGAAATCAATCTCAACAAATACCAGAAAATCAGTATCATGGCTATCCTGTTGGCTGATTACAAAACAAAATTGGCAACAGCAACAACAAAAAGATTTTTTATATTGTTGAGAAATGTAAACATTTCTAAATAATTCATGGGTTGAAAATGTCAGTTAAACTCCCCCTTCCCAGCCACCTTTGCAGCTAGAAGTGGCCAAATGACTGAGTTCCAACCAATGAGATAGGAGATTTTTCATTCCCATGCTCAAGAGGTGCGCGATCTGCTTCTCTGGTGGTGGCTGCTGGGAAGGCAGCAAGCGGTGCCTCGCACACGAACCTCGACAACAAAACTGAATGGTGACAGTACGGAAAGGACACTTACAGACCCACCTCGGGAACATAGCCATGAAAATCTTATATAAAAGGTTAGCAAATCAAACAAGTGAAATATATAGTATGTCAGATGATTTTTTTTAGAGTTAGCAAGTCAAATACCTCAGCGTATAATAATAATAATAATAATTATTTATTATTATTATTATTATTATTATTATTAATGGCTTGATCAAAGTTTTCCCGGACTGTTAACATCACTATAAGATGAGAATTCACCAAGATTGTTGGGTATGAAATCCACGTACAAAAGTCAGTAGCAGTATTATGCACTAGGAACAGTAAGTGGAAAATAGAATTTTTAGAAGTTCTGTTTACTCCCTGGCTGGTGTAGCTCAGTGGATTGAATGCCAGCCTGTGAACCAAAGGGTCACCGGTTCAATTCCCAGTCGGGGCACATGCTTGGGTTACAGGCCAGTTCCCAGCAGGGGATCCATGAGAGGCATTCCCTGATATTGATATTGATATTTTTCTCCTCCTCTCTTTCTCTCTCCCTTTCCCTCTTTCTAAAAATAAATAAGCTAAATCTTTTTATTTAAAAAAGTTCTGTTTACAATAGAAAACAAAACTTAAAAGATACCCAGCAACAAATCCACAAGATACACAAAATCCTTTTGAAGAAATATATCAACTCTTAGTGGAGGACATTTTAAAAATCCTGGATGAGTGGTAGTACCCGTGGATGGGAAATGCTATTTTATAAAATTGCCATCAATTATAAATTTAATGCAAATCTAATTAAAATGGCAGTGGGGTTGTTTTTTAAGAAATTGAGAATATAATCCTAAAATTCCTAATTACTATAGCTTTATAAAGAGCCTCGATATCTCCTAGAGTAAGTTCCTCCTACTTACTCTACTTTTTAAAAAGAATCTGTATGAATTTTAGGATTAGAAACCCAAATGATGTGCAAAATGACTGAAGAGACCCAGAACAGTTAACACAGACGAGCTAGACAGTGGATAAAACTGGATCATGGTGTATTTGGGGGAAGGAGAGTCAGGCCTGTGGAGTGTGGGAGACCCCAGGAAGGCCAACTGGACAAAGACCAGTGGGCGGGAATGCCCGGTGGAAGCTTTCGGCTCCATTTAAGGACGAAATCTCAGTGTGCAAGTCACCTGGGAGCGCAGTAGGGCACCTTACAGTCCATTGCACTGTCACTTGGGGCGCAGGAACAGGAGCAGAGCACCCGCACTGCGGGCTGTGTCCTTGAGCAGACGCCAGTGACACTGCGCGGCTGCCGTGGACAGCCTTGCAGCTCCTTTTCAGCCTGAATTTTCTGTGCCCCAAGTATGTTTCAGACGTCATCCCGACTCTCCTCCAATGTGTGTGATGAGCAGCCAGTGAGGCGCAGGAGAACCAAGTACTTATAGTTCCCATCCTGCGGATCTAAACCACGTCCATCGTTTTATAACTTAAAAGGTTCTTGGCAGAGGGGAATGAAAGGGAGGAAATGGGACAACTGTAATGGCATAATCAATAAAATATATTTTAAAAAAGGTTCTTGGCATATTTGGAAGACTAGGAACACATATCTTAGAAGCAGGGAGTTTATGGTTTAGTAATAAGAAAGACAGAAAAATTATGTGACATAACTATAGAGCAACAAGATTTCCTAAAAAACCACCAACCCTATCACCGTGGAGGTAT